GACCCCCTTCCGCCGGCGGGTCTGCATGGAGCGGGGCTTAGTGGAGCGCGGGGCGTGCTGGACGCTCCCGCGGTGTTTGTGTCCCCCCCCCGACCCCGGCCGTCGCCTCGCGCCCCCGCCCCTCAAAGCCGTTGCCCGGGTTCCCTCGCTCCGGTTGTTATGGTGACAGCTGCGCCGGTGAATGAGCGTCTTAGTGACACGCGGGCGCCGGCTTGGCCAGATGTGTTCCCAGAGCGCGCCGCGTTCCCGGCCACCACAAGTTCTCCGCTGCGCTGGGGGTTCCCGGCCCCGCTGGGGCTAAGACAGGCTGGAATTGGGGCTCCAGAGGTTGGGTTTATTCCTCTCACAGAACTGTAGAACTTGTTATTGAAACAACAGCAAGAACGTTGAGCTCCCTGGGGACTGAGAGCCAGGGGAGGTAACTCTAAGTTACAACTGTTTCCCCAGCACCAGGTGCAGGGCTTGGCACATAGTAAAAGCTCAAGAAACTTTTTTAAATGAATAAATGAATGATTGAATAAATGAATTGAGATTAGGAACCCCAGCACTTGTCCCTCAGCTGACCTTCAGTCAGATCTGAAGGACTGGGGCAGGGGGCTCAGAACAAGAATCCCAAGCTCTCCAATTACTGGACAAATAGCAATGGGGACCCTTGTATGCATACAGAACTTAAGACTGGGTCGCTGGACAAGCTGGGGGAACAGACCACAGGTACAAAACTGTCAGAGAACCACCAACGCCCAACTGAGCGATTCTGATGGCTATGAGAGGTCAGAGGAGGGGGCCTCTGTGGCCTGTAGCAGTCAAAGAAGGCTTCCCAGAGGAAGGGGCCTTCAGCAAGTCCCCTGTTCACATGACTTTTCCATCAGTGTAGCCCGCTCAGAGATGAGCTCAGCACTGCTACCAGGAAACCTGCAGGAAGGGAAAGGGAAGTCGCTCTCCTCCTATCTGGACGTGGGGCATCTCCTTCTCCCAGGCTATCAAGAGTAGAAGATGTACCAAGACACCCCAGAGACAGAATCAGCCTTCCTGCTCCTCTAGGTCCCTGATTTGGCTAAAGCTGCCCTGACCCAGAGTCTGGAAAGGACATGGGCTGCCAATGGTCATCTCAGCCATCCTCTTATGCATGGTTCTTCCCCCCAAGTCTCCAAGTGGCCGCTCTGCATTATTCAGGCACAGTTTGTGTGTCACCTCCTGATTGTCTTTGCCCACCCCAACTAAATAACCCCACCACTCTCAGTCACTGTCCATACTATCGTTCTGTTTTCTTCATCGCTTTGACATGAAATTAGTTTGAAAGTAGCTTTCCCACCTTGTTAAATGTTCTGCCTCCCCCTACGGAAATGTAAGCTCTGTGAGAGGAAAGAGCAGGTCAATCCTGTCCACCAGGGGGTCTCCAGCCCCTAGGAAAGTGCCTGGCCCATAACAGATTCTCAGTAAATACTTGTGGAATAGATGTGTCCCCCTGCCTGCCAGCAGAAGGACTCCGCTAAGATTCCAGGGAAGACAGCCTTTGGAGCTGCCCTTTATTTCCCACCCCTGCCCCCCCACCCCATTCCAGGCACCACACCCTTAAATGTGTGGGACTCCAGGCGAGCTAGAAATATCTGTGACAGCCGCTCTCTGAGGTCTGGAGGGAAAGTCAGCCCCCTACCCTGGCCTCCAGCCTCTTGGATGCCCAGTCACGTGTCGGGCCAGCAGCGGAACGGACATGGCAGGTCAGGGCATGCTGTCTTATTTATGAGTAGTATCTTCTCAGCTCACTCCCGACCGATGACTCATGCATCAGAAATCCATGAGCTCTGAATGGCAGCGCACTCACACATTTGCACACACACCTCGACACTATCTCACATACTCACGTCTACACAAGCACACATCATCACACACACACATAACACACTTGCACACATTTATACACCCCCTGAAATCTGCCGGAATGAGGTCACTGTTTGCTGCCACTGGGACCAGGCCTTTTATGAGGCATAATAAATCTGAGGACTCTGTATAGACGAGACTACTTCCCCTGGAGTGCGTGTGAAGAGCAAGGTCCTTGGTAGGATTTGCAGACAGTGTCTGGGGGGATGGTGAGGGCCCTTTCTTGAGGAGTTCCACCCGTCCCCCGCTCCCAGGGAGGAGGAACTGGGGCAAGGGTAGGGGCAAGGGAGGACAGGCCCCAAATGTAGGGAAGAGCAGGGATGTCACAAGCCCCATGTGGCCCAAAGCTGGAGCTGTGGGCAAAGCAGGGGAGAGATGGAGAAGGTTGCAGAGAAGGAAGGTGGAGGGGGCCAGAGCAGGATGCCACCTGAGGAGTCCAGAGGCAGCAAACAGGGCTCTGCAGCGAAGGGCAGAGGAAAAAGGACAGCATGAGCCCGGGGAGCCCCAAAGGAGGGTGAGAGCTATCAAGGACAAGAAGCTGAGGCAGGACAGAAGCTCTCCCTGCCCCAAGAAGATTGAGGGGGTAACAGGAATAGCAACAGAGCTGGGACTAGGGTGAGGCAGACAGGACATCCTTGGAGCAAAATTTAAGGAAGCATTCACTCTCAGGGTCATGGAAGTGCCAGCACAGCACTGCGCTTGCATGAGCCTAAGAGTGCGTGCCTCCTTAAATTTTGCACCCTAGGCCATCTCCCTTGCCTCGCCACAGTCCCAGTCCTAGCCCTTATTAGTAAGAGGACTAGGGAAGGTGGAGAGTGATGCCCTGTGGGAGGGGACAAGGGCTCACCACTGTTAAGTGCTAACTGGGTGCAAGTCTCTGGCCAGGCAAGGACCTGGAGGAAGTGGATGTGGCTTCATGGGGCCCAGAGAAGAGGACAGTGACCCCTCTGAGGGCTTCTGTGCTCCAGAAACCCTTTTCTGGTGGGAGCTGTCCTGGCAGGTCAAAGATCAAAGAACTCCAGTACCCTCTTCTCCTCTCGAAGTTGGGCAGAACCCGCTAGACTTCCAACCCTTCCTTCACTAGGCAGTTGCCAGGAGACAGAAATGTGGCCCTTTCTAGTCTCATCCTGGAAGGGAGGAAGGAGAGGAAAATTGCCAGGGAGACAGGGGATAGATGAAGTCACCATTTTGGCTGCTTCAACGGAAGCTATTAATACCCACAAGGTGGTGCTCCGCACCTGTCACCGTGGCAACCCCGGAAGCAGTGCGGATTCTGAAGTTGATGCCCCAGGGGGTGGGTGTCAGTGCCTGCGTGTTTTCGTGTGTATACGTGCATCCTTGTGTGCGCATGCCTGAGTGCTGTGAGAGTTCACACCAGCACACAAGAGAGGGAGGACTCCAGACAGAGACCCACAGGGTCCCAGGGCTCCTTCAACTGGCCTCCACTCTCCCTTCCTCTCCGTTCCATCTGCTGGTGTCTGTCTTTCTCTCTCTCTCTTCCTTCCTCCCTCCTTTTGTCTCTCTCCCCTTCTTCCTGCCCTTTTTTGCTTCTCCCTTTGTTTCTTTCCTTACTGTCTCTCTGCTCTTTTTTCCTTGCGCCTTTCTCCTCCTGGTTCACCTCCTTCTTTCTCACTTCCTTGTTCAAGTCTTGAAGAATCCCCATACTGATCAAATGAAATATTTGATTGAGAGTCTATTTTCTTCCTTCCCTGAGCTCCTGGGTGCTGAGTCCAGAATGAGCCATGGGGAACACCCCTGAACTTGAGACTACCCTGGTAAATGACATGACACCTCTATCTCTGTCAAGAAACGAACCTTGGAATAGGAAACAGCCACATCCATCCACAGGCTAGGAAAGATACATGGCAGCCCTCCCAACTCCCAAGCCTCCATCCAGAGTTAATTCAGGGTACAGAAAACCTAGACAGGGTTGCCCTGTCTCAGGCAGCCTGAACTGCACGGGTAGTTGGACATGTGGGAAGGTGAGGTCCCAGAGTCCCTGACATAGTAGATGCTCAAGAAATATTTAATAAGTGAATCAATGAATAAACACATGGTTTAATTAATCTATTAACACAGCCACTCGGCAAGCCAGAGAGCCTTGCTCAGGCCAGCCCACTTTGTCAGTTCCCTCCTTGGAACCCCAACAGTACCTCTTCCACAAAGTTTTCCCCGAGGCCAGGTCTTCCCTCTGAACTATAGGACGATTGTCTATGTGATCCATTTTAGCATGGAATGGGTACCACACTGCCTTGCTCCCAGTTGCTTTGTGATTCAGCTTCACTCATTGCTTGCTCCAGGGACCATTTATTCAGCACCAGCTATATACCTGGCCAACACCGTAGAGGAGCTCGTCCCATTTTTTTTGTATTCTAGTCCCAGTTTCCCTCCCAGCTCCCAGGACTAAATGCAGTGCTGAGGGCTGAACACACAGTAGGTCTAAATGAATGCTGCTTGTGTAGCTGGGCCATTGGCTCTAGGCTCCAAACTTTTGTACATGCACTTCTAGCAGTAATGAATTTTTAAGCACACATCCCAATACATCTATATTTATTTATAATCTCTATGTATGCACTGTTAGGTTAGGTTCCATTGAGTCAATTTCGACTCATAGCAACCCCATGTGAAAGAGTACCCCAGAGGGTTTTCTTGGCTGTAATCTTTACGGAAGCAGATTGCCAGGTCTTTCTCCCACAGAACCACTGGATGAGTTTTGTTAGCAGCTGAGCACTTAACTCAACCACCAAAAACCCCATTGCTGTCGAGTTGATTCCAGCTCATAGTGACCTTATAGGACAGAGTAGAACTGCCCAATAGAGTTTCCAAGGAACACCTGGTAGATTCGAACTGCCGACCTGTTGGTTAACAGCTATAGCACTTAACCACCACATCACCAGGGTTTCTTTTGTACCACCAGGGCTCCTTATATA